CCTGGTCCAGTGGAAGGTGACCCTGCTCATTGCAGGGGGGTTGGACTAGATGACCCTTCCAACCCAAACCAGTCTGGGATTCTATGATTCTATGAAGGTGGAGATAGTGGGGTTGGACCACCAGGACAACAGCATGGTGGGTGGAGCTCTTGGACAGATGCACACAAAGCAATTCACATACAGCCACCATGGGAAGGAGCACAGGGCAGCCCCACGTGAGCCCACACCAAAGCCAGAGGTTCAGTACGTGCCCAGCGCCACACAGACCAGCAGCAAGAGAAGCTGCAGCAACCACAGCTGGACTGTGGGGAGGGCAGAACGATGCCTCATCCCAGTGTGGCTGCATCTCCACAAGGTTTGGAGTAGGTTTGGGCTTCCAGGATGTGCAGCCATGTCATGAAACTGTCCCTGCCCCGTAGACTGTCTCTGCACTGGTCCTTCCCCAAGTTTAGCTTCTTTTAAGGTGTTTTTCCCAAATATTTCCTCTTCAGAGGAGCCTCTGACTTCTCATCCTAGAAGGACAGGGAACTGCTGGAGAGAGTCCAGCACAGAGCCACCAAGATGATGAAGGGAGTGGAGCATCTCCCTGCTGAGGAAAGGCTGAGGGAGCTGGGGCTCTTTAGCTTGGAGAAGAGCAGACTGAGGGGTGACCTCATTAATGTTTATAAATATGTAAAGGGTGAATGTCAGGAGGATGGAGCCAGGCTCTTCTCAGTGATGCCCAATGGTAGGACAAGGGGCAATGGGTGTGAGCTGGAACACAGGAGGTTCTGCTTCAACTTGAGAAGAAACTTCTTTCCAGTGAGGGTGCCAGAGCCCTGGGACAGGCTGCCCAGGGAGGGTGTGGAGTCTCCTTCTCTGGAGACATTCAAGACCCGCCTGGACGCCTTCCTGTGTGATCTCATTGAGGTTCCGGCTCTGGCAGGGGGGTTGGACTGGATGATCTTTTGAGGTCCCTTCCAATCCCCAACATTCTGTGATTCTGTGATCTCCCTGCCCTTTGGGCACCTCCCAAGATGCTGGGGGCTCCAGCTTCAGAAAGGAGCTGCCATCCTTGGACACGGGACCATAACTGAGTGGGCTGGCCATGTGGAGAGCTTTTTGGAGCCTCATCCTTGTGGCTTGCAGGGAAGAACCTCAGCGTGGTGCAGCCCAGCCCCTCAGCCTGCTGATGCTTTTCCTTTGCCTTGCAGAATTCTTGGCGGTGGGATTGGCATCGGTGCAGCGGCCACGTGGCTACTACCTTCCTGCTACACTCCAGTCCCTCTTCAAGCAGTCAACGGAGGAGGAGCTGCAGGAGATGGTGGTGGTGGTGCACCTGGCTGACACAGACCCAAGGTGGAACTTGCGTGTGGCCACTGACATTGCCCGTAAGTTTGCTCATCACATCCTCCTGGGCCGGCTCCTACTCATCCACGCTCCCCATGAGCTTTACCCCACCCTTGAGGGCCTCAAGAGAAACTACAACGACCCAGAGGAGCGGGTGAAGTTCAGGTCCAAGCAGAACGTGGACTATGCCTTCCTCCTGGCCTTTGCTGCCAACCTCTCCTCTTATTACCTGATGATCGAGGACGATGTGTGGTGCGCCAAGTCCTTCTTGACAGCCATCCGCAAGGCACTGGCTTCCCGGGAAGGCTCCAACTGGGCCACCCTTGAGTTCTCCAAGCTGGGCTACATCGGTAAGCTCTACCGCTCCAGCGACCTTCCTCGCCTGGCTCGCTTCCTCCTCCTCTTCTACCAGGAGATGCCCTGTGACTGGCTGCTGGTCCACTTCCGCCTCCTGCTCACCCAGAAGGACGTCATCCGCTTCAGGCCTTCCCTCTTCCAGCACATGGGCCTCTACTCCTCCTTCCAGGGCACCGTCAACCGGCTGGAGGATGATGAGTTCCAGGCTGATGCCTTGGACCTTCCAGATAACCCACCTGCAGCTTTGTTCACCAGCATGTCTGTCTTTGAGAACTACGAGCCCCTCAAGGCTTACAGCACAGTAGAGGGGTATTTTTGGGGGAAGGACCCATCAGCTGGTAGTGTCTTCTCCATCATC